CAGTAATATTAAATTCTAAAATTGTTAATAACAAATTAAGCATTGATATTTATTATTATGGGAAAGAAGTTCCATCAAATGATATTGAAACAAAGAATTTAATTTATTCAATTTCTAATGTATATGTTCTTTGTGATTACAAATCAACACAATTTTATGGACATGAAGTAACATATTTAGCATGTAATATCAATAAACTTACTCAAAATAAACTCAAAAACGATGTTTTTAGTTTGAAATTTATTTTGTTATCTTTTGAATACAATTATGATATCATTAGATAAATATTTAATTTTTATTAACAAATATTATCACAGAATTTAACATTGATGTTAGAGAGAATGAAATTAAATTGCAATTTATTTCTATTTGGAGACATCCACGGATTTTTCTAATTTCCACGGATTTTTCTAATTTTTTTTCTAAATATTTAGCGCAAATAGTGTGGAAATTAAAAACTTCTGTTTGAGTACTTTCTTAGACACTGTTTGTCAATAAGTATACATTTGGCCTTTCAAAGTTTTTTACGCTGTGATATTATGTGTCAGAAAGTACTCAATTTTCTTCTCAAACGATGGTTTTTTTAGAAAGGTGCAATTCTTTATCGACCTTATTAGGAAGTTTGAAATGAATCGACTTTATTTGGAAGTTTGGAAGCTTCTAAATATATATATTCCCCACTTTTAGCAAGCTTTATTTTAAAAAATAAATTTAAATGTTTTTCGATATATTTGTTCCTCATCAAGTGTACGATGTCTTAATAAGACCTCAGATGATGAACGAAGTCAACAATCAGCATCTGATTGTTGAAAGCTATCTTCAAAGTTTGTTTGTAACAGCCCTTGGAGTCTTTGTTCCCAATATAAGGTTCAATGTCTTAACAAGTACTTCATATGAGGAACAAAATCAACAATCAGCATTTAAATGCTGACTTGATTCTCTCAAGACTACTCAAAATAGTAATACTTATCTCTAATCACGGTTTCAAAAACATAAATATTTTCGATTAACCATCAACACTTTTTTCATATCATTTCGTAGTATTCGCAATTCATATCAGAAATCATAGGTACATCACAGCACCATTATTATATACACAACCTATATGATTAAGGTATATCCTGTAAATATGTTTAGCCTGAACTTTGAGAACTTGGAAATTTTGATGATTCTCTCAAACTACTAATGATCGACTATAACTTATGCACTTATTATGGAACATGCATTCTCGATCATTATATGTATTTTTCGCAGAAATATGACGAACCTTCAAAAATTATATCTTCAATAACATATCAAATGATGAACAAACGCTTCCGATGCATAGTATCCTTGAGTTAGAATTATTCCGAATTATATTTCATTCTTATTATTAACGGCATGATTATCGGTCTAAATCAAAATACTTGTTAACCTCATATTGACTTGGGTAAAACGGTTTATTATTGTTTCCGCGATTTACGCAAAAATTGAAAAAACTGAAATCACCTTATTATTGAGTCGGCATTAACTTTTCATCCAATATATCGATTAGAGATCCTGAGATTCTGAGAGGTAGGGCAACGATAGAAAATTTTTGGAAAAAAAGTTCGGAGATCTTAAACGTATCATATTCCCTGCATGGTTTGGTATCTTCCGCCATGCGTTGTGCCAAACATATTGACACTTTCCAATAATTAATTTATGGTATGAGTCACAGAGTTAGATTATAAAAAGAAAGTAAATAATTGCAATTAGAAATCATATATGTCGGAAATCAAATGTTGATGAGCAGAAACCTTTTACTCATCATAAAAGAGATAAATCACTAAAGATTTGTATACATTAAAATTTGATATTTGGTGATCGAAAACTGTCTGATGGGACTCCTCCAAAATGAGCCAATCTATCGCTGAGGACCAAATTAGATGATGTGGATGGTGTATTCTCTAATTCTAACTTAGGAAGAATGGGAACAAAACGAATGACGACAACAACATGTCAAACATAGATTAAATATCTATGAATCAATAAAGTATACGTGCATTGAAGGTGATAACAATCACTTGAGGCTTATAACTCTTTGACTAAATTATGCAATAATTAAATATAATCATTTTATATTTTTATACTGATAGTAATTAATATACTATCCTGCTTAATAAATGGTATGATCAAATTTGTTTGAAAATTTAATTATGTATATGAAACTATGTCTTCTATATAAAAATCAAAATTTTCGGACGAACCTAGATTGAACCTTTATGAAAATCTATCATTTTTGTTAATTGAGTTAATATGAATCTTTTACATATGTATATATAGCATTGATAGCTTATATAATCATGGTTTATTCCATATTAACATATTTTTTCAGTTAAATTTGTTAATAATATCATGTAACAAATTAATTCAAGATTAGAATGTCTACAAAATGCTAACAAATAAGAACAAAATACGATTTCTCGACTTAAATTTTAATATGGAGTAGTTTTTCGTTTAAATCTAATTAAAAATGAATAAAAACTTATCTTGTACTATTTTCATTCAAAGATTTTAATAATGTAAATCATGCATTTTCATAATTCAGTACAGTTCTTTTTAGAATTAAAGTTGATGAGGATGATATTTGCGATTTAAAATAATTTGTTAATGTTCACCTTTTATTCATCACCTTGTGGTATGCCCTAAAGCAATAGCATTATCAATTCTGCTGAATTGATCAACTCAAAATTCCAAAAAAAATTCAAAATTTCAAAAATGAAATTAAACAATTTGAATTTTCACATGAAAAAATTAATTTCGAAAAAAATTTGGAAAATCAAAGTATTTGATAATTAGTCAAATAATCAATTTACATCGTTTTTACTCATAAAAAACAACTAATTTTTGATTTTGATATCATATTTGATAAATACTCATTCCAGAGTTGACGTAATGTATTAATTATTGTTAGAGATATTGCTTTCGCAGCAAAATTCTTATTTCATGAAAGAAAAAAAAAATGATTTTATTCCAACAAAAACAAGTAAACAGATGAATGGAAACGTACTATATTTTCATAAATGTAGTAATCAGCGTGTCAGCTTTTGTTTATCATGTTCGAGTCAAAATGTATTAACTTGTAATAAGAAATATTCGAAGATTATATGAAGTATTGAGCATTCTTTGTAGAAATATTTGTAATTCATTACTAACATATATAATAAAGTTGTTTTTTTTCCTTATTGCAATAATTTTGTCTGATTTTAATAACTTTTCATGTATACGAGTTGTGTGAATATGCATCATAATATGCGTAAATATACTTATTTGCGACGAATAATGTGGTTGCATAATAGAGGTGCTAAATTTTGATTTTTAATATGGAGCTTTGGTATGTATAATCATGTTCTTATCTCAACGTAGGAGTATTGGTGCAATATGATTAAAATTTACGAGGTTGATCTTAAATTGAATAATTCTGGAGTATAAATAACAATGCAGCTAATTCTATGTTAAAGATAGATACAGATTGTAGTAATCAATTAGGGAGTACAAATTCATTCTTTCATTTCTGTTGTATTGAGCAGAAAGGAAGAGATCATAACCCTAGGAAAAAAGCCCAAATTTGTCACTTTTCATAGTACGTTAAACTCAATTCGCTCGGCGAATGCCGAGCACACGTACTCATCATTCAACATAATATTCTCATTCTTTGGTTATTATAGTGCCAGACAACACAAGATTTCAAAGAATTACTTGAGTTTTCAATTAATCTTAATCCGATTTTAGATTTATCGAGAACTCCATCATCACAATCACATACTTCAGTGCGGTAACTACAATTATCCATATACAGAAGGAAGTTCTTTTCGAACAACTCATTTGGAGTCTGTTTTGGAAAGAACTTCTTTCTGTCCGACTTAATTTCATAGTTCCTGATCAACCAAAAGACAGAAACCACACACTATCTACTTAGGAAAGGAGTTCTTTCTAAATCTTCCTTAAATTGAGATTTTACGAGAGATAACCCTTCTATTGCACTTAAAAATGAACATTTTGATATCTTTAGTATCACACATGGTCATATATAGTATTTCATCTACATGAATACATTCATCTTTCGAAGTCTCTCATTAAATGGGAGGCTTCGAAAGATGAATCGTTTTATTCATACAACTTTAAATCTCGAACACATTTAGAGAGTGAGTATATCATTTTATTCTTGTTTTGAGTTTATTCTGATTCAAAATTGCAGTGAAAACAGAAGTTCACACATCATATCTGAATGTGAGCTCATCTATACTTATACGATCTCAATACCTCCACTCTAAGCATAAGAGGTGAAGTTTTATAAAATTATCAGATGCGTTGAAGTCTCAAAAGTTTTGCCTGAATGCTTGTTTCATATTTGTCCAAGTAGTTTCAATGAATAAATGTATTGTTTTTTATAATTTCGATTTATTTTTAGAAAATATTCAATATAAACCTTTATTGTGTTATTTACATCTCATAAATTCTCTGTCTAAATCATATAAAAGCGCGTTTTACCCCTATGAATCAAGAAATTCATTCAATATTCATGGTATATTTATTAAATTTATACGATTTACTAATAATCAATATTATATCCTCATAAATAGCAATATATTTTGGTAATCTATGATAATCATATACAATATTTGAAATCAAATTTTCATTAGTTTAGGTTCCTTGTTAATAGTAAACCATTATATTTATTACTAATAATAAAATCTATGTGTCGTATTGAAATTCAATAAAATTACTTATTCGGTCCAAAAAAACAAATTAGATAAAATTTTTCTTTTTTTATGTAATTTTTGTTTTTCATTTTTCTCAAGATCCTAAGTTATGTTCTAACTTTTGACATCATATCCTATCATGCTAGGCTATATATTATAGCATATCCAAAAGGCAAGGAAATCTATCAGAGAAGCCTTTTTTACCTATCGTTGCCCTACCTCTGATTCTGTTCAACTTTCAATTATTTCTCACCCAAAAAATTAATTTTTTTTGTTATGTCTGCAACTCTCAAAAGAAGTGTGAAAGTAATGAGATCTGCAGTACATAAAACAATAAAAAGGAGAAAACTAGCATACTGTCATAATATCAAGATCAATTCTGCATTAGATGAACTTCAATCTTTTTATGATAGAATTGATAAAAAGAAATTCACTGATACTCCTATCACAGATGCCGTTGCAAACTCCTATAATGAATTTGCTGAAGCCGTTTCACAACTACAGTTCTTTATTGACTCAATTGATGAAAATAACTATTCTAAGAACATTATTTTGCAGAAACCGGACTACTACATAAAAAGGATTATAGCAATTAAGCAGAGCATTAATGAGAAATTCGAAAAATTGAACTTAGATTTTAATCCGCCATTTGATAAACCAGAAAAATACGATATGTCGGATGAATACGATGATATAAGCAAACTCAAGACTATTGTTCTATCAGAGTTTGAAAAAGAAGAGCAAGATAAGATTCTCCCCGCAATAGACAATTATTTGGCAGAAATTCAACAAGCATTGGGCACCAAATCGGAAATATTCCTTAATTCAGCTGAAGTACGAACAGAACTAGAGCAATTTTCTTCATATTTCGTTCGTGCAAACGAATTTGAAATTGGTTCGCAGATAAGTACAAATCCACAAATTGCAACATATCTAGGTACGCAGAAGAACACTTCCAAACCTGTTTTAATCCAAAAACTTAACTTTAATGAGCGAATTTCCGTTGGATTATTCAAAAAATTCAAATTACAGATCGAAGTACTTTCAAAATGCAAACACTTCGCACTTTGCAAGCTAATAGGCATAACCAACTCCGAACCATACTACATTATCACTGAATATTATCCAGAATCGCAATCTTTGTTCAGTTTTCTTCACGAGAAGGCTTCATCGATCACAGAGACCAACAAATTGATCATTGCACTCGGAGTCGCATACGGAATGGCTTATTTGCATAGTATTGGCGTAATTTACAGAAATCTGAAATCTCCCAATGTTTTTTTGGATTCAGATTTCGCTCCCCACATCTTCAACTTCGAAACCAGTCGTTTCAGTGACGGATCAAGTCGTTTTACTCCAAAAGTCGGAACATTAAATTGGATGGCGCCAGAAGTTTATTTATCGGACTTCTACACAAAGAAATCAGATGTTTATTCATACGGAATGCTTCTTTACGAGTTACTAACCCAAGAAACACCATTTAAGAACAAAACAGAATTACAAATTATCAACAAAGTTTTTTCTCAAAAATACAGACCGAATCTGCCAGAAGACAACAATAAATCCATCTGTGACTTGATATCTATGTGTTGGGACCAAGATCCTGATAAAAGACCTTCTTTCCCTGAAATTGTGTCATTTTTTGAAAAAGGTGACACATTTTTTGACAAAACCAACACTAATGTATTTTCTCAGTACATGAAGAAGTGCAGCAAAGATCCACGTATCATGATTTCGTGTTTCAACATCAAAGAAGTATCAAAAGAGAACATGACAACATTTGTAAATTATTTGACAACGATTGACCAAAAAGACGAAGATTTATTGATATCTTGTTTCCACATTGTCATGGAACTCATGTCCGATGATAACTGGCAATTATACATTGTCAATTCTTCTATTCCTAATTTGATTTCTTATCAAATAAGAGAATGCAGTTCTCAAAAACTTTCTGAAGTTTTGATACAAGTTTGTCACATTTTGTTGAAGACACATTCATATGACGAACTTAACAAGAACCTATTGTTTTCTGAAGGCCTGATGAATATATTTTGTATGTTCGGTTGTAGCTCGCTGAAGAATTATATCAATACTTTACTTTTAGCTCTTGAAAACGATAACAACAAACCACATATAAAAGACCAATTTTTCATGAAAATTTCTCAGTTTATGTTGATTATGGATCAATCTATTGCTTTCTTGTCATTCAAGCTCATTAAGTACTTGTTTGATAATGAGTACGACTTGAATTCCGCGATGCTTTCTTCTGTTATTCCTTTGATCTTTAATAATTTGATTCCAAACACTCATGATGATGAACAAATTTTAATGATTTTGGAGTTTTTGGAAACACTTCAAAAATCATCGAATTTCATTGTGCAAATGAATTTGTTTGATACTAAATCAGTTCTTTTAGAACTGATACATCACAAACAATATTCATACCGTGCATTAAAAGTTTTATCTCGTTGTTGCACAGTTAAGAAATGCACTGAAATATTTGCAATTAATTTTACAAAATCATTTCCAAGGTTAATTAATAATTTTGAAAATACAAATCAAAGTCATATATTGTTGTTGTTTATTTTTACTTCTATCATGGATCAACGTGTTGTTTACAAGATTGTAATGAATAACAAAGAAATATTATTGGCTTTGAATCATTGTTTAATGAATAATGATTTAGTTGTTGTTTTAATTTCATTGAAAATTTGTTTTTCATTGATTTCTCATGAGAAAAATAATGCTATTTTTAGTTTGTTGTATCCAACATTTATACATTTGTTGAAATCAAGTGATAGAGTTGCTATTACTGCTAGTTATTGTTTGTCTTCTTTGATTCTCAACAAAGTTGTTTATGATCATGATTTCACGGAAATTTTGGATTTCATTTGTAATTCTTTTCAATCTTCTGATAATACTTTGATTCTTTCTTCACTGAAATTATGTGGATCTATATCACAGACGTATAAAGGAACGCAAACACTCGCAAAACATAATAGTTTGATATCTTATTTAGTTAGTTTGATTGATAATGAAACTGTTCAATATACTTGTTTATCAGTTTTACTTTCTATTACTGCATATATTCCTTTCATTTCTAGTATGGAAGAATGCATTGAGAAAATGCTTATGATTAGTCCTCATTCGCAATCGTATTCCCTTGTTTCAAGTATTTTCTCAAATATGTCTGTTTCTCCACAAGGAAGTGTTTGTTTGTGTCCTTATATTTCTAAAATTGCTGATAGATTGATTCACAGCAAAGAACAAAGTCAAACAGCTTCTCTCGCTGCAATTGAAAGAATTGTTTCGGCACCAGAAACACATGAAATTATTATTAAGGCAGATAACTACGAATGGGTTAAGAAACTCTTGATTTTCTTGAATACTCCACATGTTTGCACTGTTTTCAACATAATGTTTTATGTATCTACTATTTACTGCGATTTGTGTGACATTATATCAGTTCAAGATGTTGATTTTTACATCAACCAGCTCTTGAATAATCCTGATATCAACCAAGGTTTGTATTTCAAACTTACACGTCTTAGATATTATCTAGAATAACTTTTTTATGTTTTATTTTTTTAATGTTTTATTAAAAGTTAATTTTTTTTTTGAAATAATCTACTTCATTATACATATCTCCTGACACTTTTTGAATATAAAAAATTTTATTTAGTATTCCTTGATATCAAGGAACATTAATTAGTTACTAATCTTTATACAAAATTAGATCAAAATTCATATAATAACACCAGCCCAAATCGAGAAGGCAATAGTTAAGTTTTTCGATTGGAAAAGAGTTATAGAGAGATTTGGAAAGGATTTTATAGTCTTCCCTATCCAGTACCTGTTACTGGAACAAATCCGAACTGCAATTATGTTCCAAAGAAAAATGACATTAACATTTTATCAGAACAGAACTTATTTTTCACATTTAGGGGTGCCATATTTTTTAGTGGTAAATCACGATTAGTTCATCGTCGCTTTTGTTCGTATAATAACACAGATAACTGTGTCCTATATTTTGATGCAGGAAATAGTTCAGTTATAGAAGGATCTATTACTGAAAGCTCAAGAAGTATGTGGGGTACATTTTATGCATATGGTGGGAAAATTGATATGCACTCAATGAATTTTTCGAATTGCCAAGCCGGCCAAGGATCAGCTGTTGACTTCCAAGTTGTTTCTGATTTTGTGAATATCAGCTATTCTTATTCTGAATCAAATCTAGCAAGCGCTAATGGAAATTTTTATTTAAGGATACCCTTACGTGTCAGATTTTTTGCGCATACGAAGAAGTCATGCTAGACATGAGCTATAAACCTGAAATTTTAGCAACATATTTAAAACTTTTTAAACTACAATACACTTTAATATTCAAGAACAAAAATATTCTTTTTAGAAATTACATAATTATTTTATGTGAAATCTATATAAAAACATATTTTGCGAGCGTAACTTTTTTCTTTATAAGCACCTTATATGACTGATAAACTGTGAAGGCACATAATTGTTAATTCATAGAGTTGATATGTTTCCAAAATTGAGAGGAAATTTGAAAATTGAATACCCTTTCAATTCAATTTTCAAAAGATATCAGCTCCTTCAATAATTGAAGGACGATTTTGATCATTTGCTCTTAAAACAAGTATGCCATGGAGAAAAAAGTTACGCTCGCAAATCTGAAATATAACTATCATATAAAAAAATTAAATTTCTAATTTTTTACTCTATAGATATTATTGGCCATTTGTGTAATGCATAAAAGTTTATGTCATATGCATACATTTGGAAGTATGGGAGACGAGGGAAATTACTTCTATGAGGCACTAGGATTTTTAAAAATTTCTCTATCGGACTCACCATTCAATTTCTCGAAAATTAAAAAAATCAATAATAGCTAAAATGTATTATGCATAACAAATTTTAATGTTACACGGTATTTTTTGAACTTCATGACATGAATTTTCTTTATATTATTTTTTTTTTGGATTTTCTATGATTTATGCGATAGGCTGGAACAACATTGTAAGTGCAATGATATCATTTATAGAGAAATCTAAAACTTCAGCATTCAGAACTCGCAACCACAAAAATATTCATTTGCTAAGTAAGTAAAGTTGATTAAGTTCGACACTTAGCTTTTATACGTAAAACCAAGTGTGTATTGTTATTTCTTGTTAAATTATTGAGAAAAAAATAAATTGTAAGAGAAACGATACTGATTATTGAAATAATATTGAGGGTAGCTGCAGATTTCTTCATTAACATGCCGGAAATGTGTTAATCTTGGTTTTCTATCATAAAATCTGTCGAAGAATCTAAAAACGGAGATATGAAATAGAGATCATGTAAATCTAGAGTATCCTGTCAGAAAAATAGACTAAGCATGTAACCCTTTTTTGGTCATAAACACTTTTTACCACTTAGTCATACAGATGATCATTAAATTTAAACGAGCACTTTTTGTCAGAATAGATTCTTTTACAAAGACAGAAGATTTTAGTATTATTTAATATTAGTGCTGTAGCAAAATTCAAAAACGGTGAAAATTCAGTGAATTTGTGAATTCACATTTTTTTTCGACATTTTTCTTGATATATCCATGCACATTAAGAACACAGCTTTGATACGCTTAAAAAAGCATATTTTATATGAAATTGTTAAAGAAATAAACAATTTATATAAAAATTGCACTTATGGGCAGTTTAGATATATAATTTATATATAACATATATACAAATCCATAGACAAAGTGCAATAACTACAATGTTGTAGAAAATTACAGCAGAAATACTGACTTTTTGAAGGATAATAAGAATTCTTCTAAATGTTGTATTTTTATAATTTGATTGATTTTTTTTACTATTTCATTAATCTTTTATGAATAATAATTATTTTTAATATATGTGCTATTAAAATTTCAAATTTTGACTAATATATCTAAGTTATCTGAACGAAACATTTAGAAAATATCATACTTACATTGAAATAGCAAGTAGAGCATATTAATAGCAAGTTTCTTGGCTTTATATCTATCATCTATTGTTGTTTGATCAAACAAAATTCACTCTATTATATGGTGTCAATTAATTAAAACAATTTTTAATAGTTATTTATTTAGTGCGAATAAGTGCAAACTCATAAATGAATAACTTAATAGTAGAAATGAATTATCTGATATAAATCTCACATTTTGTCCATCAGAAATACTTTAATTGCATACGCATAACTATTAGTAATACGTTTGGAGTGTCAATTAATAACAATCCCACAACAAGTAAAATTCAGATTTTTATTAAACTTATTTTTTCCTAAAAGTTTTCTCAAATTACTATATATACATATGTGGATAAAATAATAGTAATATTGTAAAAAATTAGATAATTTTTTTTATTTGAGAACCTCTCAAAAGTTCATTCAATTTATCAATTGTTTCAGTTTGATGTATATTCATTTCTGGAGCCTAAAACTTTAGCAATCATGACAATATCATATTCTCTTTCTAACTACGCAATGTAAGGGTATCCTTAAGCAGATTAGTAGCAAAAATGATCCGATCAAACTTCATAAACAACTCACTAACAGGCTCTACTTATGGAATAATTAATTATGATGATTATTCCAGCAGAAAACTTGATATTGATGAATGCATATTTAAAGAAAATTGTAAAAATGGAAAGGGAGTATATTTCAGTACCGAAGGTTCAGGATTCATTTATATCTTTCGATCAATATCTGATGCCAAATCAACATACCAGAAAGGAAACCCTATATACATGTCCATAATGTCTACAGCCTCTTTCAACATTTATTTTTCTATAAAATTAAATTTAAAATGTGATAAAATTTCTTTCAAAAAGAAAAATAAATCAAATATTGTCTTTTATTTATTTTCGATTAATTCGTTTAAAATGACAATATTTTTATTGTAAATGAATTTGAAATGACTTTTTTGGAATCATTCTTTAAGATTAGATTTGTGGTTTATGAGCATATGGTAACTCTCTGAATGTCCAATTGAGAACTCCTTGAAATTTAAAAAAAATCTATGTTAGGTAAAACTGCTCTTCATATTATCCCAAGCTAGCAAAATTTTAAAATTTACAATTTTGCAGCACATTTGCAGGGGCATAGTCTGTAAAAATGCTGAAAAATTGTAATTTTATGAATAAAGTCCTTTCGCGAGCCTTGTTGTGGATTTTCAGCCTTGTAGTGCAGATTTTATGGCGATGTAAACTCACATTTGAATCAAAAATAATTGTATTTCACTTAATAATGGTTTTGTTAGTCTCCAACATATGTAACTTTTATTAATCGTATTGTACTATCAATTCATATAGAATTTTGTCTTCACAATCTGAAATTCTTTTATTGAACAAAACAATTGTCAATTTTCATCTTCTGATTGCAATTCCAGTATCAATAATTGTTTGATATCATATATTGATAATGTATTCAGTTTCTTAATTGTTTCAAAAAGAATATATTGGATAACGTTGATGTTCTTGACAGGGGGAAAAAACTTGAACGTTCGAGCCCTGACAACCATGAGTTTACATGCTTTACACGTCAAGCAAGTGCTGGGTGGGGAAAGATCTTGTAGATAAAAAAATTCGGGAAAACAACCTCCATATGGCTAAGTTGGGTAATTACCTTTAAATGTTATCTAAAGCTCTGGGTTTGAACCTAATGTACGTTGAATTTTTTTTTTCCAAAATAAAATTTTGGTTCCATCAGAAATAATAGCATTTTATGAGTAAAGATAATAATTAATTGTTTGATAGTTATAGGTCATTCTGGGAGACATTGCCTATGCAATGTCTCCCAGAATGGCAAATTGTCCCGCAATCAGAATAAGATTGCGGAACTTTGACAGACAAGAGTGTTCTATGCATTCTTGTCGGTATGTATGGGTCATTCTGGGAGACAAATTTCTCTTGAAGTACATGCTCAAACATTATCATTTTTGAAAAATACAATTTTTTTAAAAAATCTATGAATTCAACAGTTTAGATTATATCTAGTCATTACCCAGTATTATCTGTGAGGGCAAATGGAAAAGATAATAAATATCAGGAAATGTTTGATTGAATAATTTGCTGCAAAAAATTAAGTTGAGTAATTCGTGTTTATCTTGTTATATAATGCATATTTTCGCGATCTGACAGCAGAAATCGAATCAGCGGAGCCCGAAGAATCAGATTACGCGGGAAAAATAGGTTTTGAACGCTTAGATAGGTGTAAAATGAGACTTGATGAGGTGTGTTGTATAAATATAGTTTTTGTGGTAAAATGTCATGATATCAGAAAATGAAGTGAGTATATATATGTTTTTGTCACAGGTTTATATGTGGGGATAGCTCAGTAGAGTCTATAAAAGAGCTCACTACACGTCACATGTTATAGAAAGCACAAAAAAATATAAAATAAAAATTAATTAGGGAAAATTAATTTTTAAAGATTGGATCTAAAGTGGTTTCTCTAGTGATTATAGAATAGGACAAACAAGAGTGCATAGAACACTCTTGTCTGTCAAAGTTCCGCAATCTTATTCTGATTGCGGGACAATTTGCCATTCGGGGAGAAAGACAGTGACAAAGTCTCCCAGAATGACACCGTAAGAGTAGCAACAGCGCAATCTTGCACTTTTCCACTCAAAGTTCCGCAATCTTATTCTGATTGCGGGATAATTTGCCATTCTGGGAGACATTGCATAGGCAATATCTCCCAGAATTACACATACATACCGACAAGAGTGCATAGAACACTCTTGTCTGTCAAAATTCGGCAATCTTATTCGGATTGCAGAACATTGTCTCATTATAGATATAATCATTATATTATATAATCTACAACGATACATCTTATGTTGTCCAAAAGTAATTTAAATTCTATACAATTAATTTTATATTTACTTCTGATTCAAATCTTTAAATATTCAAATATACTAAACTGATATGAATTTTCACTGAGTATGTCGGATAAGCAATAATAATGCACAAGTATCACTAAATGAGCAAATAATTTGCAATTGTCTTATGATTGTTGTATTTTAAGTTGTAATATTTACAAAATTGTTCTGATTTGTCATTACATATCACTTACAATCTATATCTCTTTGCTAAAACATCTAAATCTTAAAAAGCTAAACTCAAATTTTAATTAATATATTGAAATATCATGCATTTGCATTTTTTATGTGTTGATTTTAGTCAGTATAGGTTAGGTAAATTTGCACGTCCTTAATATATCATTTGTATGTAATGTTTAGATCCAATTTCTCATCATCTCTATTAAAATTTTTGAAAAAAAGCAAAAATCAAACCGAGCAAATGCCAAACTTATTGCATTTTGATCTATATGTGATTATCCCACTATACTACATCATTGGGAGCGTTCGCCAAAATTTTTGGTATAAGAAATTTCCCGACCCATGATTCGAAAATTTTTTAAAAATAAAATTTCTGAAGATTTTTCTAAAAATTTGATATTCTATATCAGAATCATATTTAAAGCTTATATGCGATGGGTATGAATCACTCCATTCAAAATCATGTTTACATTATTGTAAACATAACAAAATCCCATCGGCTGAATACAAATATTCAAAGGGTCTCAAAAATTGAATTCTCGAACGTCAAAGTTTTCCTCGAATGTCAAAATCGCCTACGTTATTTTAAATATTAATTTCAAAATTCATGTATTTATTCTTCATCACTGCTGATTTTAAAATTGTAATGTTTTTGAAACATTTTAACTGCAAATCATGTGGATATGAAGGATAAAAATTATTGATTTTATAGATAAGCTGATAAATGATGCCATAAAAATTGATTTTAAAGGATTTTGTATATAATGGTGAGAACATCTAGAGGATAAAAAATGGTTTAGATTTATTGGTTGTCACTTTTTAAACTATAAATGCATCATATATCAATCCAAATCATCAATGATACGGATTCATCAGATTCTTTTGATGATTTCGGCGTATTTCTTGATGATGATATTGGTGATAAAGATGTTTTTATGTCAATGTGGAATTACAATCCAAATACTGGTACAGATAATCAACCCAAAGACCAAGCTGCGCTTGATGATATCTCAGAGGCCTTCGTAAATCTCAAGAGTGCATTAAACGATATCGCTGTTCTCAAAAACAATTTTCAATCAAATATTTCAAAGAAGAATTTTGCATCTGGCAAAGTTCCTCTCGAGTCTGAGAACCCAGATGAAGATTTTGTAGCATTCCAAGCTTTGAGGCAGAAGAAAATACAGTTAGAAGAAAGCAGTCAGTTTCTTTTCAATTCTGCAGCATCTCTACAAAAAGAGGTAGAGAGCACTAGACAGTACTTCAGAGAGGTAGATCAAGTCTCTCAACGCTTCCCATTAAAACTCGTCTCAACACCAGATAAAACAACAAAAATCGCGATTGATACAGCATATTCCACAAATAACTACATTTTCCTTAATGAAAAAGAGAATACAGACGGATCTGATTCTTGCATTGAATGGGCCTTGTCTGTAAACACTCATTTTTCATTCAACGGAAAATCTTTCATGTTAGAGTCGAATTCTTCATTTATACGTTGCTTCTTTGATCTCATGTGCCACCAGTTATTTGAACGTATTAAAGACGATCAAATTAAGTCCGCAATTCATTATTCAGCAGATAAAGATTCCAGATCAGTATACTTCGATATTGGTACGAAAGAAACATGGGTATTCGAGCTCGGCGCATTAAAAGAGGTCGGAGATATCCCTGTTTGGATTCCAAAACTTATTCATTATATTATTGATCCAAAATCGCAGCCAGCGACATATATGAGGCAGCTTTTATATTATCTTAATACATTGAACTCTCTTAGAACCACTTTTATGGACAGATTCCTTTATTCCGACTTTTGCCAATTAATTGTCAAAGAACAGCCATGTTGTTCGGCTTTTCAGATCTCTTCACCTCATCTGGCCATTCCATACATTGCTTTCATTGATAAATGGCGAGTATCGTTGACAGAAACTCCAAATGAAATGAGATGTATTCCTTATTCAACAGATGGACGTGGATTAACACCATCGTTAGAGAAATGGTGTGATATTACATTTACAGCGCTATTCCTGTCGATGGCTGAGAAAATTACGAGAAGTTTCGGATACGTTTTCAAGAATAAGAACCAGTATGGAACAGCAGCATTTGGTGGCCGTAAAATCAAGTTTAAACCACTTCCAAAGTCTAGAGATGTAGAGATTTCCATCACATCTCACGCAACTAAGAAGAGGAACTGGAATCAAGTGCCTGGTTCGGATTATTTCGAGCGTATGTGTGTTATTCTGTTCACTGATCTCAATTAATTTGAATTTAAATGTCTTTTTTTATATTTATTTAAATAATTTTTGAAATTTTTCTGCATCTGATTATAAACACTATAAAAACCTATTTTATTGTTAACTACATACTAATCATCACTTTTCAACATGTTATTTTTGATATAAATCGTGATATCATAATTATGAGATATATTTCATCAATAAAGATTGACATATCTCTAATTTTCTCCATATTAATCTAATATTCCCTGGTTTTTCCTTAAATTAAAATTTTTTTTGGAAATTGCTCTTTTCCACTAAATACACAAGGTGTGAAATGAGCAGTTCAAGAAATTTAGTCATAGAAACAAGATTTCCTCGCTCAATCATCTGAATTTATTACAGATTTCTGATTTCTTTTCAAAAAATATGACAAAGTAATATGGTATTCTATTGATTTTTGTTCAAAGTATGTTTTAAATATTCCACTCACACTTTATTTAATTTGAATTTTATCGAAATTTTCTCTTGAAAAATCTTATATTTACAATGAGTAAAACTGTGTAATGATTGATTAGCTTTAACATTTTCATACTCCTATCAATGACTTTTACTAAAAAAAAAATATTATTTTGTTTCTATGATTAATCCTCTGAATTCTCCCATTCATCAAGTTCGCGAATCTGCTCGTTAGCCCATTTAGTAATGGCTTTGGCAGATGGTATGCCTTCGTATTTTGTAGACCATTTCTTCATATATGAACGGAAGAATACGATTGTTGGGAACTCTGTAATGCCCTGATCTTCGATGATTTGACCAATCTGGAATGTTTCACCGACAACGAGATTTAATTTTGATGGATCGATCATTTCTTGGATTTGTTCAAAAACAGCGGCTAATTGACGTCCTGGATCATCTTTCTGGACAAAAGCAACTAATGCGTGACGCTCTCTTCCAATGTAGTGCCAAAATCTTTTTGGATTTGGATGCCAAACTTTTCCGAATTCTGGTTGATATTTATTTGGTTCATCATCAACAGATGTTGACTCTGGCTTCTTCTTTCTGCGGCAATCCGCAAATGTTAACCAAAGTGAAAAGAGTAAAAACATACGGAATAACTTTACTTATCGTCATGAACAAATTTCGATTTTATTTAATTTCGACTGTGTATTGATTTAATTTAATGACTTCGAAAAAGATCGCAGTATTGCATCCAGACCTTGGTATTGGAGGTGCTGAGAGACTTATCATTGATGTCGCACATGCTGTCATGATTGACCACAAGGATACAACAGTTTATACAACACATTACGACACTAATCATTGTTTCCCAGATACAAAGGATTTGACCATCAAAGTTGCAGCTGCTTGGGTTCCACGTAGTATCTTTGGCTTTGGCCACATCATTTTCTCTCTTTTCAGCTTCCTTTGGCTGACAATTTATGCTGCACTAACAAGCAAAGCAGAGATTTTCATTGTTGACCAAATTTCTGCTTGGGTTCCAATCCTTCGTTTACTTTGCCCACGTGCAAAGATCATCTTCTACTGCCATTTCCCAGATCTTCGTCTTGCATCTCACAAATCTCTCATTAGAAAGATCTATCGTCTTCCATTCGACTTGATCGAGAAGTGGGGAATCAAAGCTTCGCATTTGATCTACGTTAACTCAAACTTTACAGCAGGAGTTACAAAACAAGAATTTGGTGACATCCCAGTTCGCGTTCTTTACCCATGCGTTGATACATCACGTCAAGTAGAGCGTAAGCAATCACCAACTCCACTCTTTGTCTCATTAAATCGCTACGAAAGAAAGAAAGATCATAACCTTGCAATCAAAGCTCTCGCAAAGGCCATCACTAAGATCCCAGATGCTAAGCTTGTCATTGCCGGTGGTTATGATGACAGAGTTACAGAAAATGTTGAACATTACAAAGAACTCCGAGAATTAGCCGAAAAACTCGAACTTACCGAGAAACAAGTCGAATTACAACGCTCTATCAGTGATCAGCAGAAATGGGATCTTATTGCCTCTGCTACAGCTATGATCTACACTCCACAAAACGAACATTTCGGAATTGTCCCCATTGAAGCCGAAAACGCCGGATGCCCAGTCATCGCTTGCAACACTGGTGGTCCACTCGAGACATGCAACGTCGAAGGCTGCTTCATCTGCGAGCCAACAGTCGATGCTTTCGCTGATGCAATGGTTGAAGCCGCTTCGATGAAGAGCCACGATAAGGAACTCAGAGAGAACGCTGAGAGATTCGGTTTCAAGGCTTTCGCAAAGCAACTTCATGATGATATCCTCAAACTTTAAGTAAAATTATTTAATTTGTATATGAAATTTTTAAATTTTTCTAAATACTCCTTTTTATTAATTGTAACTTCATTGATATATATAATATCAAAAATAATTTTATCTAAAATCACTAATTTGAAAGATTTTGCAATTTTCAATATATTTTCTTGTAACACTTAAATTATGTATATATATATTTGCCACTGTTATCTTTATATAACGCATAAATTTAACTCTTTCAACATTGAATCATCATTTAAATGGATTTTTTAAGCCCAAGCATGATTGATAGATACCAATTAAGATCAATAGTACTCAGTGTATCAAGATAAATAAGTTCCCTTTTAATATATTTAATGTATTACTTGGAATATATGATAATTTCATTATCATTATTCCGGTTTATGTGATCTAACTCTTGATTTAACATATTATGTTCAAGAAAACAAAATTATACTTGATTCGAAAGTAGTATTTATAATTGCACGTTTTAGGTATATGGTTATTTACTTTATGTATTGAAAGAATGACTTTTATGTATCAATATCCTTTTAAAAAGTTTTCTCGAACAATCAAATTGACATTTTCCAAATTTTTGTCACTTTTTATTAAATTTCCTTGTCCTCAAGGTATAAGATACATCGGCCATGGATTTCAGTAAATCAAGTCAGACTGAATTGAAATCAATTACTATGATTCTTATAGATAAAATCACGAAACGTTTCATTTGGAAACCTTTTACGATGAAATTTGGGAGAGATATTTCAGTCTTCCACGCCCAGAACCTATTAGTGAAACCAATCCAACCATTCCTAGTTCAGGAAATGCATTCATTTATCAGTCAGTTTTTAAAGATTTGTCATATTATGCGATTTGCTTTAGTAATAAAGATAATCTTTACATATTATCAGAAGAAAATGAATTTTCTAATGGTAAAGGCACCATACTTATTACTGGGAACTCACAATTTGTTCATCACCATTTTTGCACTTTTAATAACTCAGAAAATTATTTCATTTACTGCCAATCTGGAAATAGTAAAGTAACTGAAGGATCTATTTCCAACAGCAATACCAATACTGTTGGTACATTGTCTCAAAATTCTGGCAGTATAAATACTGAATCAGTAAACTTTTCTAGATGCCAAGCAAATAGAGGATCAGCTCTTTATTTTCGAATACTCATAGAATCCACTCAAACTCAATTTTGTTTCATTGATTCATGTCATTCAACAGAATATAGTTCAGTTTATTTCAGTTCATTTAGTGCCAAATTGATTAGATCTAATATTATAAACAATTCTCAAACTAACACTAATTACGGAATTATTTGTCTATATAGTGGTTCTTCACATAGACTTGATATTGAAGATTGTATATTTGATAAAAATTGTCAAAACGGCAAAGGAGCGTATTTCTGTACTAATAGTGAAGCATCCATTTATATATTCAGAACAATATCAGACTTAAGAACAACTCATCAATCTGGGAGCACAATATATATGTCCTCCATGGATACTAACTCTTTTGAAAATAATTTTTCACTTAATTTATCTTTAAAATGCGTTCCACAGTTAGGAAATAATTTACATAATACAAACATCATATATTATGCATTTTCATTTTCGTATTTAATTTGTACAGTATTGTTTTCTAAAAGATAAATATAAAACTTTAGACATAATTAAGATACAACTAATAATTTACAAAATTTCTCCTGAAAGTAGAAATAACTTTGATATACAATTGCTTTTTATTGCTACTTCCTTTCATGGGATTAATTTTAAGATATGTTTTTCATTTCTCTAACCTCTCATGAATCAATATTTATATTACTGCAAATACTTGCTCAGATATTATTACAACTCTCAATATTGCAGTAATTATTCAGAATGGAAGTATACCTATGTTTGCTATAAGGAATCTATTTTATTATGCAATGCTATTCTTTAAACTAGATGTGAGATAAACTATATTTTCTTTTTTATGATCAAAAATGATGGCTTATAGAAGAATAGTGAAGTCTTTAAATTACATTTTCAATGAGCAATTGAGAATTTGTTTAATAATCTCTATACGTTACAGCTTCGAATATAAGTACTCACTGTTCACTATAATTCAAAAATTTCTGATAATATTGCATACTAGATGCAATATTTCAATATTTATGCATCCAAGTATCCGTTGATTTGATAAATATCATGTAGATTCGAATCCTTTATCTTTTGTAATTCATTTCGAAATCAAAAATACCAATCCTCCCAAATTTAGATTCTGAATCTTTCAATAGTTTGCAAATTTAGATATCTAATGTATATATTTTTGATTAAATATAAAATTCTAAAAAGTAACAAAACTGTATTGTCCTTATTCAAAATAAATGTTTATGGACACTTTTTGTATAGCAAGTTTATTCCTTCTAATGAAGGAATCGATTTTATCAACTCGTAGTGGCTTGTAATGATATCAAATTAATGTAAATGCAAATTCTAACATTATATAAGAGAAGATTAACAAAAAAACAATCTGGAAGCAACTGCTCGAGAAAAATGGGAAAGATATTTTAGTGTTCCTTGTCCAGAACCAGTTACCGATACAAATCCTAACATTTCTGCAGACACAAATGTTTTTGTTTATAAATCAAATTTTTATGATTTATCCAATTTTGCAATTTTCATCAAAAATAAAGATAATCTTTGTTTTTTGTCTGAAGAAAACTCTTTTTCCAATGGGCCTGGTACCGTTCGTATATCAGGTCGCTCAAAAATCGTCCATCATCATTTTTCTTCATTGAATAACATAGGAAATAATTTTATTTACGAATACAATGGAAATAGTACCGTGATTGAAGGATCTATTTCAAATTCTAGCTGTATTAATTATGGAGAATTGCATCAATATTTTGGAACAACAAATATTTCATTAGTAAACATCTCTAAATGCGAGTCAAATGTTGGCTCAGCCATTCATTGCCTCATGATTCAATACTCTTCTAATGTCATGTGCTGTTGCATTGAATCATGTAATTCAGAAGACTATAGTGCAATTTATTTCCAAGAATTTATTGAATTAGGTAAAATACGATGATGTAATATTATAAACAATACTCAAATGAAGGAAGATTTTGCAATTGTTGGTCTAATTTGTGGAAGACTTGATATTGAAGAATGTATTCTCAAGGAAAATTGCAACAATAATTTGGGAGCATATTTCGCCACAGGAACTGAAGCATCCATGTTTATCTATCGAACAATATCTGACTTAACATCGACTGATCAAAAAGGAATCACAATAGAAATGTCTGAAATGATTACATCCTTATTTGAGATTAATTTCAAAGCTTGTTTATCGTCAGGACAACTTCCTATGAAACAAAAAACGAAAGTACGTATTAAAAGAATTTCATATTTATTTTTAATTTCACATGCATTATTTTCATTGTAAATCTACCTATATACTATTGTGAAATTAAAAATTAGATTTATTCAGTCTCAAATACAAATTTCAGACGATTTATTCAAAGAATGTTTACACCAACATAACATTTCTTTAACTTATTGAGTTAACATAATTAACCTGCTATCTTATAATGTCGACGACATATAATTTAATGGTCGACTCTAATAAGTCACTTCACTTCATGCATAGAGTGAATAATCATATTGATTCTTAATAGAATATACTATTACTATCATATAAACTGCATGCCCTAAGGTGGACAATATTGAGAGGAATTCAATGAGTCCTCTCAAAAATAACCGCCTTTTAATATTCAATACTATTGTCCACCTTTCGTCCAACTTAAATAATTTATTTAGAAACAACAAAACAAAATAGATAAAAATAAATAATGCAGCAAGGTCCAGAAAGACCTAAAAAATCGAAATGACGGAGTGGATTTTTGATATAACTCATTAAATGGAAATTATGAGATATTATAATTAAATTTTTCACGCTATCCGAGATATAAGAAAACTAGCATCCTGATAGCTCGGATATATGGGTAGTATCTATTTTTGGAGAAAACTCCAAAAGTTAAAGTTATGATTTACTAATGAGAACAATTATAAGAGAAACAAGTAGCTGAAAAGGAGCATCATTTGATATGACTAACAATTACTTATTCGTAAGTTTCTGCAATGTCTGTTCGAGGAGAAATGCTGCTTGATTTGGATGAACGTTTATAAGTTTTTAGAGTTAATAGTTGAAGAATATGGAGTTCCTAGCATGAGTATGTTAAGTGGACAGTAGAGAAATTTGGTAGCAATGCATAACGGTTGCAATATTTTCGGGTAATTCAGAATAGGATCTGTTTGAGCATAAAGAGATGCAATATTATTGCATCTCTAATCATTAAAGCCATGTATCTTGTGATTTCAAAGCGTGTTGTGTCTCTGTTCCGCTCACTAAAAATGTAAAAAAAATTTGACTATTATCCACCTTAGGGCAAGCAGTTTATAAAAGTATTTTGAATATAAATTTCGATGAAGAATCAATCAAAAAGTCGACATTATATCTCAAAGCTATTCATATATTAATGGTCGCCTCGACTCACTACTTTTACGGGCGTGAATTGTTAAATTGTACTAATTATATATGAATATTTTCGTCTTTGAATGACCTTTCACAGAGTCAGATATACTCAGAATACCTTTATACAGGACAGCGATAGTATGCAATATTAAGAATCAGAGTTATGATTGCTTTGAAGAAGAAGTGAAGTGACTTAGTAGACTCGACCCTTAATCATATATTAACACTTCTCATATTTAATTGGATGAGCAGACGTGACAATTATATTCATTTGACAATGCAGGAACACTTTGTATTGTTGAACTACATGTTCTTTGGCGACATTGTGAGAACTGTAATACACGTGCACTCACTGACTACAGTGAACACACATATTGTATAACAGACACTCTTTCATTCGACTTATGAAATGAACTGCATGGAGATGGAAGTTGAAAACGACGAAACTTTGAATACTTCGCATCATTTTCAAGAACAGTAAAATCG